CGAGCAAACGGATAAATTTTTAGAATGTGAATCGATTCGAAAGCATTGTCGCGAAAATTTCCGGCGACTAAAACGATCGTACGTAACTTCACTTTCCACATTGGAGCATGTACAAATTTGAGAGAAGAGATAAGTAGAAAAAGCGTCGTCGAAAATATTATGTTATTATGCCGCTGATGTCCGTTAAATAACAATAGATGCTGATCGAGGTACGAGCTGTATTCATGCACTTCATGTAAATTGTTTTGTTATGTTGTAATGAACTGACATTTCTTGTGTAATCTTAATATCGTATATTTGAAATTGAAAAAGCTGAAAAAACTTCTATATGACATTTGTGTCATATATATATATATTAAAGAGTATTGATTCTCTTAATTGAATCCTCACAAGAATCCGATTTGTATAAATTTGAATTTCGCGGTCGGATTAAATCGATTCAATTTTGGGCTTGTCGACTTTGGATTTGACCTGCTATAAAGTCCCGTCTAAAGCGGCCATTCTTCATGCTGGATTTCATGTGTATACCGCAGTCGGTGAATCTGTTCTTTGTTTACAGTAATGACGCAGTAATGACCGAGAGATTTCGCAACTGCCAACATCCCAGTAACAAACTCCTTCATGGAAGCCCTCTCTAACGTCATAGAAAAGATACAAGCGTAAAAAGTATTATTAGAAAATGTAATGAAGTTTCATAAAATCTAAATAACAGAATATTACAGGACTGACTTTCATCGTTCAATTTTCAGATTTTATTACTTTGAGTTTTATTAATTATTATTAGTTCTAATCAGTTATTAATTATTAATTATTAACATTTAGCATTTATAAAATTCGTCGTAATATTAGAGAAATTACTTGAAAAGACTTAAATTTTCATATACTAGCAAAATCTATTGAACTCAATTTTAATTTTAGAGTCTTTTTCTTGAGTAATTCCAACTATTTATAAGAATTGATGTTATTATTATTATCATTATATGATGTTATTATCATATGAGTAAGTAATTAATTTATTATTTTTTAGTAGTGCGCAAGCATCGAGGTGTCAAAAACGAAATATGATCGCAGAAGGTAGTTATGTGAAGTTGTTGAAAAGTTTTAGTTCCAATTGAATCGAAAGATTCAGAAAGAAAAGTGTATTTTCACACAAAGAAAGAATACACATATTTTTGTTCAAGATATGGAAAGCAAAATATTTCTTTGAAGCCTTAAAACAGTTGGTCTGAGTTTTCTATCAGATTGGTACTCGTCGAAAAACTTTGTACAAAAGGACGGCCATGCCTCGGTCATCCGGAAGATATCAATCTGGTGCACGGTTCACGCTGACCATAGTAATTATCTACAATACATTTAAAATCTCGCTGATTGTCAGATTATAAAAGAATTATAAAGGAACGACCTCGCTCATCCCATGACGTACATGGTCTATTTATATTCTCTTCGATATCATCCAAAGTACGATATTTGCGTTGATCTACGATCTACGCTTACGGCGCGGTTGTGACAATTTCAACCGGTGACAGTTTCATCTCCATGTTGTTGCTAACGACCCAGGCGGAATGAAAACAGTCCAAGACGTGTCGCGAAGAGACACGAGCATCTGCATAATTTGCGATCGATAACGTAAGTGAAGATGTTTTTTTTCTTTCCTCTCTTTTCTAGTCGTTAAGTTAAGATACATCACCGAACTTTTAGATAATTTTTCTAGTTATTTATGTACTCTCTTTTTTATTCCACTTGCACGTTTATTATTAAGGGGATGCCTTATAGCGAGCGACGAACTTGATAAGCGTCGATAATGTAGAGCGATCATCAAAAAGCAGAAAATGTTATCATCATTTACCGACGATATCGAATTTATGTACTGTGACGTGGCAGCCGTAGGGCGCCCGTCACAAGGGCAAAAGAGCCCCGTTCGTGTGATTTCGCGCATACCGGAAAAAGGGGAAGGGAGTGCATAGCGTTTCTCAAATAATTTTTGGCGATTAAAAGCGACAGCTTCCGCGGTCATATCGGTCGAGCGTAGAGG